TCATTTCCTATGCTAAACTTTTCTCTGCCTCTTATTCTTTTTGCATTCAGTTTTCCTGGCCCTTACCACTGTCTAGTCATAGTTTAAAACTTTCCTTACAGCTGAGTTAATAACATTAGCAAACAAACCAGCCCTAACTCTATTTAAATGTAAACCATCCATTGCAAAAAGCTCCCTTCTTTCACTTAACCGATCCCACAAGTTCAAGCAGCCAATTTGCTCATCCTTACATACTAACCTAAGCCTAGCATTTAGCCCTAATGACTTACTTATAACTTCATCCCCACAGTTAATTTTGGGCAGTATCCCTGATAAAATTAAGTTATGGCCTTTTTCTTTAAATGACTTTATCAACTTATTGTACTTATTAATTAGCTCTTCTGACCTACCTTTCCCAACATCATTAGCCCCTATATGTACCACAAAAACTTCATCTCTGCTAGCCCTCTTTATTATTTCTCCTGCTCTGTAAGTTATATCCTCCACCTGTGCCCATGGGTAGCATAATCTGATTTTTTTTCACCCTATTTACCCCACAGACTATTCTATCCACATGTCTTGTCACCTATAAACTATAACCTCCTTATCATCCACATCCTTCTCTGACCTTTTTGTTTTCCTTCACTCCAATTGTTCCTCATCTGCAGAAACCAAAAGCTGAAATCTGTTGCTCAACAGAATAGGCTCATTATAATTAAATTCACTATTTTTTACTCTAATAGTACTCTTCGTAACTTTCTCAAAATTATTGTTAACTGATGTATCCCTTGCATGTAAAAGCTTAAGCTCCTCCTGAAATCCTGCTGCCATTTCCCACAGTCTACACTTCTATTTATCTATTGCATCTACTTTAATCATGATTGCCTCTAACTTTTCCTCCAACCTACAAACTCTACATAAAAATTATACATCTTCACTACTAGCTTCCTTAAAAGTACATTCCAGTCCCGAGTTCCCAAATAAAACCCACTCATTGCACCCATTACACCTAACAAACTATCAATGCTTAACTCCTACACTAGTCTTAACCATTGTATTTATACTTATAGCCTGAAAATAAATACTCAATACCAAATACTAGTAGCCTGTTGTTAACACTGTTACTGTTAAGCCTAACGTTTAAGAACTAATAATAATATTTTTTATCACTACTTTGTCTTCACACTAAAGTAATAAAGTTTATCTTTAATTATATAGAACTTAATAATTTGTAGAACAATATATGTAACGTTAATAATAAAATGAATTTAGCCTGATTTATATTATAATCTTTGTATATCTATAAGCTGAATTTAAAATATTGGATCTAAGTTCAAGTAAACAAGTTAATTCTTAAAATTCCAAGAGACAAAAAAACTAATTCAATGATGAGGAACCCACTTTGAGACTAATAATGTTTGGAGATTGGTTGAATGGATAATGAAGAAAAACTTTAATATAAGTTTAACATAACAGCAAATGTACAAGGTTTTGTCAATAAACTAGTTTTTAGATTGTATTTATTTATAAAAAAAATTATTTATCCTGTTTTACGATTTACCATTAAGTTGAAATATACCTAAGCCTAAAGTACAGTTACATGTACTAAGCCTATTTTAACGTTGTAGTAATAATTTACACCACTAAACTCTAACTTAAAACTTTGACCATCTTACTTTTATTTACCAATCTTATTATATCAAGTTATTATTGTGTTATTTAACCGAAATTACCAATTATAATAATAATAATTATCCTCCCTTTTCATTTTGCTATTTCCAATTTACAAACATAACTGATTTTCAGAATATTTGAAGCCAAATAATATGGTGCTATAAAATCTATCCTGGATTCCATATTCATATATTTATATTCTTATAATTGTAATATTAACTGACCCCCTACTCGTAATTGCCTGATTAATATAAGTACATAAAAGTGCATGATAAACCATGTTTAAAATAACAGATTTAACATAACATCTTAATATTCACATACAAGCAGTGTTGGACAGTTTAATACATATCATATTTATATGTGGTTTCCTAGTTAATTTATTGCCAGTAGTGACTTTCAGTTATTTGATGTAGGTAGTTTATTCAATAACAATATTTTTAATATCTAATCTCAAAATGACTTGTTAGTTTTTTATTTTACAAAATCATATATTTAGTTTTATTAAGGTTAATTGAAAGTGTACTTGTCCACTAGTCTATATTAAGCATTTTCATATTAACTATAAGTTGTAAATCTGTAAAGTTATTACTAGCCATAAATAAATTTGCATCATTATCAAATAGTCTATTAATGGTTGGAGACGGCTTGAATGGGTAATGAAGAAAAACTTTAATACAAGTTTAACATAACAGCAAATGTACAATGTTTCAACAAGGTTTTGTCATCATCATTACTTGTATTATAATATTCCTTTTTATTTCATATAGCTCCATTGGTGTGTTGGCAATTTTTTTAACAACCGATTCTGATTAAGGTCAAAATTCTGTGATACATCAATGTAAACTTGCTCTAATTTGTGAAACATATAATAGCTAATGGTAAGGAAAATAAGGTCTTTTTTCCACCATTTCAATATATATTTCTATTCACTGCTAAATATTTGTTAAAAATCAATAAACAGTTTGGTGATCCAATCAAAATTTAACAAATGGTTTGGGTGAACCGGACTGAACCAGCCCCAGCACACCCCTGTATAGCCCTTTTATTTGGCACTTACATGTACATCTCTGAAAAATAACCATAATTTAGTGATAACTAAATACTAAGTCAGTTATTCACAAGATTTTACCCCAGAGTTTTAAGCCTAGACAGCATTTAATGGAACATAAGCCTAAACTGCCTGAATATAGATTGTAATATATATCCAGTTTGAATTTAGAAAATACTCATAATGTAAAACCAGTCATTCTGAGGATAATACCTGCAAGTCAGAATTTTTAATCATAATCTTCCATTACACTGTAACCTTCCTTATGCTTATTTCAAATCATGAGCTCTGAATTATTTTAATATACCTATATTCTCTAGAATTTAGCTTCTAAGTTTTAGGTCTGAGCAACGTTTCATGAAATATAAACCTTTTAACCGTTTAAAAGTTGGAATATACGTACTTTGGGTTTAAATAAATTAAAGCCTAAATTATCTGAATTTAGACTATTCTCAGTTTGAATTAAGAACCTAAAGGATACTAAGTCTCGTAGACTGTTTAAACCATGGTAATGGTCTAACTAACCCTAGATGAGTACTATTAAATGAATATAAAACTATGCAATCTAAATATTTTAAACAAGAACTCCATATTCTCTAAATAACCAAAAAATAATATGAATGCTTATAAGAAGTTAATAAGAGTATTAACCCGAGTCTTAAATAAAACTCCAAGAGCTAAATTTGTACAGTAATTATTTTGCACCTGTGCTTATACAAATGCTCTTGCAAAGAAATGGGCTCTAATATCTTGCAAGAAGTTTTATAAGTTTTCAACATAAATAACATTTAAGAAACAAAATTTTCCACACCCTTAAAAAAATTTTCCTGTTACAGCATCTTCTCTCTCTCATTCTTTAGCACATTAGCTGGATTCTATAAAAGACTCCCTTTAAAATCATGTGGTTGTACATACAGTTACTTGTAAATAAAAGAGATAAAAGTATATTTTTCTGATATCGCAAAGGTATGTGCTTATGTATTGAGTAATATTTTGTATTTTTCCTCTAAAGTTGTATA